GGGGGGGGGGGTACAAGATTCAACAAGGGAGAAGAGATGCAAACATTCAAGCAATTTATCATCATATGCGCAGTACATAATGAAATTCTTATCGCTCTCGCTGCAGATGCTGCAAATCAAAAAACTTGAACAGAAAACAGTAGCACAGTAGAAAGCATATGAAGTATATAAGCTTCTACCATAGAGAGAAACATTAAAGCGAAAAACCAACAAATAAAAAGTTAAAAATGTGAAATACACACACATACATAAATATGCATAAAAATATATAACATATATATGAGTATGAGAATGGAATGTGCAGCATGAAGGGACTGGTGCTCGTCCGTCTGGTAGAGCATGTGTAACTGCATGTAAGGTGCAGAGTGCAGTGAGCTGGGTGACCATTACCATAGTGCCTGGGGTGGGGGCACAGCTGGCAGAGGGTGGCAGCTGTTGACCATGCTGTTAGCCTGGGGGTGCAGACTCTTCCGGAGCCTGGATGTTCGGCTGTTAGCGCTCCTGTACCACCTGCCCTTCTTTGGAAGCTTCCCGACACACGAGCCTCTGACACACCACAGGTACGGGACAAACACACAGAGGGCGGCTGTGAACGGAGCGGCAGCCTGGGGGGCACAGTGAGGGAGAAGAGCAGGCAGAGATCTTTTTTAATCTTACTTGCCTTTCCAGGATGCAGTGAGGACATGCAGTGAGGCATTGATCACCCCAAAACGAGTCCTGCTTACTCTCGGCACGAAGCCCATTGTGGCACCAACCAGTAATGAGTGCCCCCCCCTCACTGCCAGCCGTCAGCACTGCGCCCACCTCCCCTCTGCTGCCTCCACACAGCTGACCCCCCTCACTGCCACCCATCAGTATCCTCTCGCTGGGCTGCACTGGAGTTAAGCCTCCATGACAGATCTATTCAGATATCATTCCCATATCCAGAACACCGGCATATAAACTACAGGCATATCATACACAAATAAATATCTTTAGGTGAGGGGAGACATTGACCCTGGACTGGACTGGCCATCTGGCATACTGGCATACTTTTTCCCAGTGGGCCAAAGGGGTTTTGAGCTTATTGCCCCTGATAGGCTAATTTAATGCGGGTGCGCCTCTGTGGTGGCCCTGAATGGGCAAAAGTCCAGGGCTGCTATTTAATCCTAATCTAGCCCTGCATTATATATTTGTACTGGAAATTCGAACCGAAAAATGCAGCAAACAGGAAGGTTTGTCATTGAAGCTGTGCTGCTGACCTCTGTGAGGGCACAGAAGGGCTCGGAGTGACAAAGGCTCATTCCAGAGAGATGCATTTCTTTTCATTGGACCACGGTCAGGAAGGGAAGGAGAGAGAACGGGTGACAGTGGGTGACAGTGGGTGCCAGTGGGTGACAGTGGGTGACAGTGGGTGACAGTGGGTGCCAGCGTGGCGAAGGAGGGGTCTAAGCATGTGGGACTGAGCGCGACAGCACAGGTGAGCTGGCTGGGGTAAGTCAGGCTGCAGACCACACACAGACATGCACAGACATGCACAGACACAGACATGCACAGACACAGACATGCACAGACATGCACAGACACAGACACACAGGCATGCACAGACACAGACACAGACAGACATGCACAGACACAGAAACAGACAGACACACACAGACACAGATACACACACAGACATTCAGACACACAGACACACACACACAGACACACACACAGACACACACAGACATTCAGACACACAGACACAGACACACAGACATGCACAGACACAGACACACAGACATGCACAGACACAGACAGACATGCACAGACACACACAGACACACACAGACATGCACAGACACAGATAGACATGCACAGACACAGACACACAGACATGCACAGACACACAGACATTCAGACACACAGACATGCACACAGACACACACACACACAGACATTCAGACACACAGACACAGACACACACAGACATGCACAGACACAGACACACAGACATGCACAGACACAGACAGACATGCACAGACACACACAGACACACACAGACATTCAGACACACAGACAGACATGCACAGACACACACAGACACAGACACACACAGACATTCAGACACACAGACACACACACAGACACACACACACAGACACACACAGACATTCAGACACACAGACACACACATACACAGACACACAGACATGCACAGACACAGACAGACATGCACAGACACACACAGACACACACAGACATGCACAGACACAGATAGACACGCACAGACACAGACACACAGACATGCACACACACACACACACACAGACATGCACAGACACACACACACAGACATTCAGACACACAGACACACACAGACATGCACAGACACACACACACAGGTCAGGCGACTCTCCCTAAGCACCAGGGTCCAAGCCACTGCCAGGCAGGTTGACCTCAGGACACGGCGACACGCTGCTGGCTGAGGACCAGTAATGCTCGGAGACAATGCCCAGCAAGAAGGAAAGGAGGGAAAGATAATAAAATAGGAGAAAAAAAGAGAGAAGCGTGGATAATCACAAAGAGGAAATGATGTCATGGGAGACCTGAAAGAGCACCATCTAAACAAATATGTCATCATAGTGACGAAACATTTTAAAGGCATTATTTAAAGCCATCCATCCATCCATCCATCGTCATCTAACTACATTTCAATGCTAGTATCTGTTTAAAACCAATCTGTCCATCTTCAATGAGCGCTTATATATTGTTACCGACGTAGCAGTTGTACTACAGTTCTAATTATAATTTCAATACATTTTCTCGCCTTATTTACATTGAAGTTGCATCAACGAACCACAGAAAAGGTTGGCGATTTGTACCGGGTATATATCACCTGCAGTCTACAGCCGGTGTCGCCAGGTGAAATTCAAATGGATTTTTTTTGCGAAAAGGTGTTAGTCAAACTGAAATATTTCTTGGGCAGATAAAAGCTCAGCACCTCTTTTCACTTAAGCGACCTAACTAAATGTTCTTCTATCTTTCTTGTTTTGTGAATATATATATATACACATACACACACAGAGTACTGTTAGGAAATCGGGTTCCGACACTCCTTCTTCGGGACTTCGGAAAGGTTTCTGCAGATGCACATCTACTCCGACGGGGCTGTGAATTATAAACGGAGGGAGTGAGGGGGCGTGCATCATGGATTCAACAAAAGACTAACGAGTCCAGCTCAGCACGCACAGACACAGAGAGAGAATTTTCCCTGTCCCCCTTCCCAGCTGATCGACGCGGCAGCAGCGGGAGACAGTCCAGCGGAGACAGAGGTGAGCCGATTCACTCATTCCTCCTTTTCATCAACTCCATTGTTGATCAACGATGCCACGTCACATCTACAGGATTTGCACTGCATTGCATGGCTTTATTTCTATCCGCACGCCGACTCGCATATGTATCAGTAAGTCAAATCTTCATCTTATTCTGCAATATTTACAGAGGATACTTTTGAATAAATTATATTGCATATATGAAATTATTTATTGCATGTAATCTTTTATTACTTCCGAATGCAAGAAACTCGTCGCTTGAGCTACAGCTTTTAAAAGTCCCCGGGGACAGCGTTTGCCGGCATTTTAGGTTAACTCTTTGTGTGTAGAAGTGGTAAAGTTAGCCTGTTTCACTTATTAATTATTGTTATTATTATTATTTGAATCGTATTATTATTATTATTATTATTATTATTTGAATTTGTGGAGACAAAACAGGAGTTTTAAATAGTCTCTTCATGTGAAATTACTTTAAACACGTTTTTTAAAAAAAATAATAAAAAAAAAAAACATTTATAAATTGCAAAATCCCCACATGGCAGATGCCATGCAAATGACCCGAGACCGGCATGGCCCACAGTGCAAAGACAGAGCAGTCATTGGTGCGATTCAGAAGAGCCAAAGTGGGCTTAACCTGCCGCTGCTGAGGTGACCGGGAACCAGCGAGGTGGGGCAGCTCACTTGGAGCTTTTGATGTCCATGGGCGTGGGACCACTGATCTCCTAGATCAGGGATTTTCAACCCTTCTTGGGTGGGGGGACCATTAATATTTCCTTCACTGGTTCCCAAGTCTTTGTCTCAGCAACAGTGAAAACTTGGCACTTGCCATTATGTGGTGGAGACGGGACAGGCTGTTTGTCCTCAGCTTTGCAGTGTCCCACAAACACTCCTCCCTCACCCCAGTGCCAAAACACTGCACCAGAACGTGTCCCAACTGTGATCAGAGGGTAACTTCAAACAGGAAGTCAGTGCTCTCATTAACGTCACGTCTGCGGTGAGCCAGTCCCAGGAGCCATCGAGTGGCGTCTAGTTCCGGTTTGACGGCACATGATATTTACCAGCTCTCTCGGTACATGTGGTGTTTGTGGTAGACAAACCAACTTCAGGAATTTGATTCTCTGCAAATGGAGTGTGTTAACTAAAATAATGTCTGAAGAAGGTGACAGCCCATTGGCTGGTTGGGGTTCATTATTTCTCTTCAATACTAGACAGTCAGTGAAGGAAGGATGCATAATTAGTACGGTACTGATCATATCACTCAGGTGACACTTACACAAGACTCCTATTGGCCAGCAGGTGTCACTATGTTTGGCCATTTCCTGTTGCTCTTCCCCCTGGTGGCATCTGTGCCACCACCCTCTGGTGCCCCCCTGAGACAATGCCATCGCTGCTGTGACCACCTGGAATCAGCGGGGGACGCTCCTCCCACGGGTCTGAACCAAATGCCTGAAGTGAGGACCTACATTAACATGACCATCCTCAAAGGTACCTGCTCCGCCACGCCTCACTCATGTTAGCTTAATGCTTATGCTTAGCATTTGCTTGTTTCAAAGATCTTACAACAGTTACAGTATTAACAGCAAATATCCCTCAATCCCACCCATGTCCAGAAGGGGGGGGGGGGGCCAGCTTGGGGCCCACACAGTGTCAGACTCAAGGGTATTTCAGCGGAAACCCACTTTAAATTACAACCGTCAACGTTATGCTTCCTTTCAAAGTCGGCCTACAGGCTTAGGATATATGAAGATGTGCATCTACTTCCCAAAACAGCACAGCCTTTTTGACTGTCGGCTCTTGGTAACTTAATTCTATTCAGCCTTCTGGCTAAATGAGTCATTTAAGAGCTTGTTTTCATTCTTTCATAGTTTCCTACTGCATTGCACTTGGACGGTTCTGGAGGTCCACTGCGGTCGCTCTCTGCACATGAGCCTGGCACGGAACTTGCCTATGTGGCAAAAAACACGAATGTCGTTTAGCATGCGATCCTCCTGGACACAGCTGTCAGAGCGGAGCTTTGGGGCAGACCCCCGAAACGGCATCTGCGCGTTACCGCATCCATGAGTAATCCCTTTTTCCCTGCCTTCACACAGGGGACAAGGGGGACCGAGGAGATAGAGGAACACCTGGGAAAGCTGGTCTCACAGGGCCACCGGGCTCCCGAGGTCCTGCAGGTCCTAAGGGGAGCAAAGGTCAAGCTGGTGCCCCTGGAGATGCCTGCAAAACCCAATATTCTGCCTTTTCCGTGGGCAGGCGAAAGGCCCTGCATAGCGTGGACTACTACCAAGCCCTGGTCTTTGACACAGTCTTTGTCAACCTCGATGAGCACTTCAACATGTTCAAGGGCAAGTTCTACTGCTATGTGCCCGGGATCTACTTCTTCAATCTCAACATCCACACATGGAACTTCAAGGAGACCTACTTGCATCTGATGCACAACGAGCAGGCCAAGGTGATCGTGTACGCGCAGCCCAGCGACCGCAGCATCATGCAGAGCCAGAGCGTCATGCTGCCGCTGGAGCAGAACGACGAGGTGTGGGTGCGGCTTTACAAGCGCGAGAGGGAGAACGCCATCTACAGTGACGACATGGACATCTACATCACCTTCAATGGTTACCTCGTCAAGCCCACTCAATGAAAGCCTGCGAACCAACCAAGTCACGAGCAGAAGTACAGAATAGCGTGCCCCCCCCCCCCCGTTTTGACGTACCCCATCCTGAAATTGCAATAAAGTAAGAGTACAGAGTGCAGTACAAATGAGAGTCAGCTCATGAAGGGATCACAAACTGCAGCATTTACTGCATAAAAAAAAGTGTTATTACCAGGCTAAAGACTTAACTGGACTATTTGCTGTTTCCACAAATGTACTTGATGACTTTCGGACACAGCTGGGATGGACGTAGTTATCAACTTAGCAATATAACTGGATAAATGCCACACGGCTTCCCTCCCCCGACATACTATACCTTGTTCAGGTGCCTCGATACATTCATTAGCCTGCTGGCTGCTAGTGTGAGAGACCAAGCATTAGGCTTGGCTGTGCTGGAGACCTCAGGACTCTGCAGCCGCCTCGCCTTTGATTCTTTGGTGCTCAGTTTCTGCTGGACTCCGAGTCTGGCTGAAGTCTCAGTCGGTGCTTTAACTCTGCAGACGGGTTTCCTCAAAGGACTGAGTGGGAGAACGGTGCTTTTGGAAAAGGATCAAGTGCTTGCGATACAATCAGACGTTCCAAAAAACCAACGGTCTCACGGCCAGCTTTCAGCAGAGAGGCAGCTAGCGGGAGTCACACAGGAGGCAGAGCTGCAGATGCATCACCATAAACCTGCTGCTGCCTTTCAACAAAGCGTTCATTACATTGTAGTTCATGGCCTGGCGCCTTGCCACCAAAAATATACAATCATGAGGAACAGGATTTTGCATGGTGTTCCTCATTAGCAGTGTTCCAGTAGCCTCAAGGCATGTGAGTGCCTCTGAAGTCAGATCCATAATCTCAACAGGTTGGCATGCTGTCCTCCAGTAGGTCTGCAAACAGGCAGGAAGATTAAAGGCCCTCAGATTCTTAGCAGTGATTAGAAAAGGAGCCGTTGGCTGAAATACGCATGGTTTCAATTATCGTCTTCCAGGGTTGTTTAATTACGCTGACAGTCTTTGAGTGTGCAAGGTCTTGATGAGCGGAAGGCCTGCAAAGCACATATATCAGACTTAACTTACTGTCATCCCTGTAAACTTAAGTGTTGCATTAGGCTGCCTATATAAAACAGCCTCTTTATGTAGATCACGGGGTGTCAAACTCCAGTCCTGGGGGGCCGGACGCCTGCACATTTTTGGGTTTCCCCTCATTTAACACATCTGATTCAACTCCTTCTGCTAATTACCACAAGGAGTTGTGGATCCCTTTGGATGGAAAATGGTGCTAAGTGACTATGCTATTAAGTGTTACTACTTGAGAACAGAGAAAGACATTTAAGAGTCACGGGGGCAGTCTGTAGGTGGGTTTTGAGAGAAATGGGGTCATTCTGACATAAAGGTATTCAGTCTTCAACTAGGACCATTCATCTGCATAAAACAGCTATTGTGCAGTGTATTTCACATGGATATACACTCAATGGCCACTTTATTAGGTACACTTAGCTAGTACCGGGTAGGACCCACTTTATTAGATACACTTAGCTAGTACCGGGTAGGACCCACTTTATTAGATACACTTTGCTAGTACCGGGTAGGACCCACTTTATTAGGTACACCTAGCTAGTAACGGGTAGGACCCACTTTATTAGGTACACCTAGCTAGTAACGGGTAGGACCCACTTTATTAGGTACACCTAGCTAGTACCGGGTAGGACCCACTTTATTAGATACACCTACCAAGTATCTGGTAGGACCCACTTTATTAGGTACACTTTGCTAGTACCAGGTAGGACCTACTTTACTAGGAACACCGAGCTAGTACCAGGCAGACACCACTTCATTAGGTACACCGAGCTAGTACCAGGCAGACACCACTTCATTAGGTACACCGAGCTAGTACTGGGTAGAACCCACTTTATTAGAATCCTTTATTATTAGCCTAGTATGTTTCCATCCAGGGAATTTGCCTTGGTGGTGCTTTTACAAGACATTACAAAGAACATTCAGTGTTTAGCAATGCATATACAGAAAAGTAAAACCACATATCTAGTACCTGTTAGAATCCACTTTTGCCTCCAGAACCACTTCAGCATAGATCCATTGTGCATTCAGAGTAGCAACTCTGCACACCACTCAGCTCTTAGTCTTGCATTTCTGTTCAATGTAAGAAGCATAGCCCTTCACCGCTGACCCTGACTGGATTATTCTGTTCATCGCACCATCCTCTGTAAACTCAGGCCGTTTGGGTTAACAAGCAGGTCTGCTTAATAAACTGATCACTGAGTGTATATCTGCTGCCCTGATCGGAAGTAGCAGCCATGCCAGCAGTATTAAATACACAGATCACTTGTTGATATTAGGGGAAGCATTGGCATAGGCACGAGTGGGTCAGCAACTCAGTCGGCAGCAAGCTCATGAAATTCAAAATGGATTCTGGAGTGAATACCTATGGAAGCAGGCGAGTTTCTGAGTGAGGGCACTTAACTGAGGTAAAAAGACAAGAACGGACTGAATTATGCTGGTTTTATTCAACATTTCTCTGTGCAAGGACGATTAAACAAACGAAAAGAGGGAACAGAAAGGTTTGTTTGCAGTCATAACTTAGCTTAATGTGAGAGTGGCAATAAATCTACAATGGGTGTCAAATTAAGCTGCCCGAAATAACTCCATGAAAAATTCCAGACTTGACAACAGACAGGTGCTAAAATAATGTTTATTATTATTTTGTTTTATTTAATCAATTTGCTTGCTACGCATATAACCTTCAACAGTTTGCATATTAAACGCTGTGCAGTTGTAAGGTTGAGTGTGGAGCTTATTTTTAGAAGTGTGTGTGTGGTGTGTTTAGAACCTGACATAGATTGACGAGAAAACCTCTTTAGTGTAAAAATAAACACAGAGACAAGCATTGAGGCTCAGAGATGTGCCCACAGCAACGTAAGCCAATCTCACTATGGTTTCCGGACCTCAGCATCCCCACTAATGAAAGGCCAGTGGACTTTGGCTCCACCACCACACCCAGAGAGTAGCAGTGCAGTGAACCCAAGTGAGGTCATCATTTGTTGGTCTTTGCCCAGTTTACAGCGGTTTGTTTACTTCACCAACGTTTCCCTGGCTGGTGGTTGTAGCTACATTATGTATTTGACAGCACATAAGGCACAGAAGGGTAAGATTATGTTAAAAAGTTGGGTGTTTACATTCCAGGGACCTCAGTGGAATGTTACTTCTGAAAAATAAGTGGTTAGACACACCCACTGAAGGAATCCGTCCCATTAAACACAACGATCACTGATGACCAAAACAATGGAGAAACCTCCTCCAACAGTAAATGAACGAAAAATTGCTGATCAGTAAGGAATACAATCATTTTGTCTCCAAGAGTCTGTCACTCTTGCCAAGACACACAAAATAAACATTCCTCTCCACAAGGTTTGGATCTGTTGGTACGACTCGTAGTGATTTATGCAGCGTTTTGGTTGGATGTGAACCGAATCTTGGCGTAATTCATCCAGCTCCACTACAAAGGTAGAATACAAAGATCCTAAGCACCAAGGTTCAAATTATGGGGGAGCTCAGGGGAACCCACTCCCCCTCCCCCCCAAAAAGGACATGAGCTCCCTTGAATGCCTACCATGAGACCTTTATGGGGAGCTCTATAAAATTGTCCACTTTTGTGTTATAGGTTATATATTATTTTCCGTACATTAATGCTCCTGAAATAAAAAATACTAGTATAAATATGTCAATAAAATGTATTTATTCATTCGTTACATTACATTTTCCGAACATTTGTCTCCGTTAATTAACACAATTCTGGGTCTATTCCTGCTGTGGCCATCCGTGCGTGGCGGCGCTGCACTCCACATTCTACATTTACGTAGCCACCTGAACTCCTCATCAAACAGGTCAAGTCAGGTCAGGTTGGGGAGAATGCACGGGTACAGCGCGCTGCTACACCCTCCACACGGCGAGACAGCTGGGAATCCAGGTTAGCGCCCCCCCAGGCCGACACGCCTGGTTTATCGTAAACCCGCGTTAACTGATGAAAGAAAGCTATTATTGCACGATTATACTCCCACAATGAAAACTCTACGCATCAGTTCCTGGCAGTATAAAACTCTCAGTCTGGAAAATTGCTACCCTCTTTTAAAGTATAGGAAAGTTATTTTGATAACATAAATCCTTATACAAATGTCCATTCAAAACTATGAGTAGGACATTTTGCAATGTAGCAAAAACCTAGAGATGTAACTGAAAAATTTTGCTCTGGTTGCAAACTCTAGCAAAGCAGCAAAAATGGGCAGAATTAACACCGTAACTAACGCTCCCTCGCAGTGCATGTAATGAGCCTCATTCGGGACTCCCTGAGCGACACTAAGTCAAAGCGGACAGCGTTTTTATTCGGTATTTCTGGGCGGTTTATGGAGACTTATAATGTCAAAACGGAAAAACCCTGCCGGAGAGATAGAGAGGGAGCTGCGAGCCGCAGTTATATTTCGCTGTGGTTAAAAACAAGTTACCTAAATAACGCTCAGCTTTTTTCTCCAAGTGATGTCCTGTTAAAGGGGTACGTGTATATGACAAGCAGAAATTTGTCACCTATGCCCCTCTTTGCGATTTTGTTTTGCTCTGATTAGGGTATTTCACTTCTTGCGTGATTCTTATGTTGTTATTGTGCCGTTATGAAATGTTACTGACGGCATTAACTGTCTGCAGTAGTAATTGTATTTTTCGCAATAACCCCTTACTGACCGCGATGCCGCGCTCTTGTATGTACGCTGTAATTCGAATCCTGATAAACACTAAATCTTATGGTGATGTTCAGCTTGAAAAGTGAATATCGTTGATTTGTTTCAGAATTCTGGAGCTATGTACAAACTACAATTCTCAGTCTCTCAGGTTATACGCGGCGGCTGAGCTAATTTCCGGTGTGCGGGGGCGGGGGTCAGGACCCAGCTACTGCGCCCAAATCACAGAGAAAAACATTCTTTGTATGGAGTTCATACAATCGCTTGTGGTTAACCATACATATATTACCATGCTGACAACAATATCGCTTTGTTTGTATGTGACAAGTTTTGCCTTTTCTCTATGTACTTTACATTTAATAGCTGTAGGCCGATGGATCGATGAAGTAATCTGCTTTATTGGTGTGATTAAATTAAATATGGAAAAACTGGCAGTGGACAGACCCTCCTCACTGTCCCTTCAGTGTACGTACAGTAGTAGCAGGGAAGAGGTGGTTAAATTATTTGCCAAAGAATCGAATCATTAAATTTCAATGATCATTAACACTGGCACTGGCATGCAAAAGCGGTAAGTAAAATGGCAGGATTGCTAAGACTGCGGGCAGCATCACAGGTGTGGCTGGTTAAGGACAGCATCAGAATCTCTGCAGGAAGAAAGTAGCACTTCACTGTGTTCTGTACGGGACACTTAGTCTTGAGCAAGCACACAAAATAACAGAAACACCTATATGCATTATCAATGAGACATTAGCAAACGCCAACCGCCCGCCTTTAAGCTGGAATTTGTGGGGAGATTCTTCCAGAAGAAAAGCCTCCAGGTCCTTGAGGGATAAAGGAGATCAAAGTGTATCTTGGATCCTGAGCTCCAGAACTTCCCATAGACGTTCAGTGATGTTTGGATGACGGTGGAAGGTGTTGGAGTGCATCCTGGTGTTTGTATAACCACTCTGTGAATGGGGGGTTTACTTTGGAATAGGGGGACAACCTCATCAGTGAAGGCATACTGTGGCTTTTTCGCAAGTATAAACCCATCCAGATGTAGAAACTGGAGTGAAAGATGACTCATCAGACCATTAAACTGAGCCCAGAGCCATCAACAAAATGGCTAAGAGCAGAGAATGTGCATCTTGAACTCACAACCACAATACATTCCAGTGTTATGCTAATTATGGAAGAGCGTAAGATCTCATGCTCAATGTTACTCGAGGTGCAAAGTAAACCTGTCAAAGCTGTAAATGGACTTGAGTCATTATGGCTAATTAATTAAAAATGTACATATACCAGATGGCCATGGTGCAGCTTTGGCTCATTACATTATTTACCAGATGTTCAGCTCACTGCCTCAGTGCGTCACTGCCTGTTTCATGTGTACCTGCTCGATGGCACAGATAACTCCCCAGTCGCTGGTGATACTACACATCTGCAGGCTGTGGAATTTTACCCTAAGGGAGGAAACTAGTCCATGGCCAAATTCTGGCAGGAGTTAAACCCCACCCACTATGAATCAAACTATGCTATCAGGAAAAGCATTTCAGTCTAATTGTCATTTGCTATTCGTGATTTGTCAAATCAAGTGTAAGGCCAGGTGATGATATTGGGTGGCAAGGTGACAACACTGATCTTAAACGAAGAAGGTGCAGTGTGCACTACGCTACTGCTATCTTTTCGTTAACATCATTTTTGTGAAAATGCGCTTATACCGCCATCTAGTGTGAGAATTGTCAAACAGATTCTCAACTCTCCTCTCCACAGATGAAATGGTTTGTTGTTACCAAATAAAATGTTTCAGAATGTTGACTCTACAATGAATATCATGCAATTGACCACATGCACATACACACACGCAAACGCATACACCAAGGACTGATGAAGTGCAATGATTTTTCATGAGAGGCTGTACAATGTTCCAATACTGTCATTTCTGCTGCTACCAAACATTCAGTTCCTGCTGCTATGTTTGCGATCATACAATTCCTGCTGCTTCAAGGCATCTGTAGATGTCCACTTTTCATCTTATATGTCTATCACATCTATATTCATATATTTTTTGTTTCTTTTATTTTTGTGTTATATTGTATAGTTATGCTGCATTTTCTCCTATTGTACTGTCCTTTGTGTTGCTGCAATAATGCAGATTTCCCTTTTGTGGGATTAATAAAGGTTTATCTTATCTTAAAAAGCTAATAAAGATGGAAAATTATCATAACAATAATGACAATAACCAAAGAACTATTCCTTTTCCTGCAAATGTAACATTAAAAACTTCATTGTCAATTAAATGGAACAAAACAGACACATAAATAATACTGTGAACAAAATGTTAATTTAATTTATTACATATATTTTCTCCAAATCATTATCGTCAAGGTTAACACACAGCTGGTCATGGAAAACAGGCTTTTTGCTTGAACTCAGTAATCAGAAACTGGACACTGATGCGGGACAGGACAATTTTACCCATTCTGTGTTAAAAAAAAATAATAAAAATGAAGTATTTCTCTTTTCCCCCTTTATCATGCAGCTGCTGGCATGGAGGGGTTTAGACCCCATTATAAAATCCTGGCACAGGCTCCCCCCCTATTTTTAGGGTCCTTTGGTCAAAATATACAAGGAAATTTGGTACCATTGTACAGTTTTCACAGGTACGACTCAGGAAGTCAAACAGAGTAAGAGAAAGATCACTGACCCCCTGTAGGGTATCATTCCCTCGAATGCTGGATAATCAGTCTCCATGTGCTTCTGTTAATTTGTTTGGTTCAGTTTTAAGAGGATAACGTTTGAGCCATAAGCCCTTGGTCTAACTAGACTCACAACCTCAGTTGTATTTTCAGTGATCCAGACATGGCTGAAGAATCATAAAGGACTACATGGCGTCACGAGAGTCAGCCAAGCCATTCCAGGCTGAAGCGTGGAGCTCGCTATGGCTGGCTGGCTCTCATTCCCACCCTTCCACCCTGGGTGAGTCACAGAAGGGTTTCTGAGGCACAGCAATATATAACGGAGCAATGACTCCCTTAAAGCCGTCTTTGAAGTAACAGCTGGAGTCTGCAGCTTTGATGCTGCTTCGGCTGAATGGGGATTTAACACAAGACTGAACTCCTAGTGGCTACAACCCACATTATAACAGATGCAAAACACCACCCTGAAACAGGGCAACTCAACTCTTTGCCCAGGGGCCAGCGTAAGCAGACTTTAGAACCAAATCAGTCCGTGGATACTCATAAAACAAGTCTAAATCTGTTCATGAGTTGCAGATGTACTTTTTGCAAACACAGATGCACAACCATGTTGTCTGCGACTTTACATTTCACATTATGAGACATGTAACTGACTGCTTGAGAAGGCCGGCACACCCAATAGGGTGCTGGATTGGGTGTTAACTCCTTTGTTACCAAGTGAGTCAGAGTTTGCCTGGGGAGCCCAAGCACTCTTTTCACACAGGGAGAAACTATTCTTTGAAAAAGGGTTAGGCAGACCTGGCAACAAGTCATGCACGTAATTGGAAAGTGTATATGCTCTGCTTCGCGTTTGTTAAATGGTGTATTCTCATAGAGCACATAACACTTTGCTCCTCTACCAAGTGCACACTGGGACAGCCACACCCCCCTTTGTATTCCAGGCTGCTGACATGATCATCTCTCTATAGTGGCAGCATGTGTAATCACAGTTCTCAGTCTACATCACATAACTGTTTGTAATTACAGTGCTCAGTCTATGTCACAGTGACAATGTAAATCACTGTCAGTGTAGATCAGTGCATGGTTCCTCTTGGTCTGTCACTGTAGTTTTATTATATCTGTTGGTCTATATCACTGACTGTGTACATCACTAACAAGTGTTTGTAATTATGCTTTTCAGACTATGTCATGGTGACAGTGTACATCACTGTCAGTCTGCATCGTTCCTGTTGGTCTGCATCGGTCAGTGTCTGTATGTCATTGTGTCCCAGTGTCACCCAATGCTGTAGCTGTTGGTCAGGGAACCAGAAGGTGTGTAAACTGCCTTTCTTACAAAATACACTCATGAAACCAACAGGATCAAAGCTATATGTATAAATCCTGCCTTTGGACAAACGGCTGTTTCTGAGACCGAATTCTGGCAAGAACTCTGCATAGGCACCAGGTCACCCTCTGCACAAAGGTCACGCATCTACAAGCAGCAGCAAACGGCTCGTCTTCTTTAAACGAAACACTAAGATCCTCTTTATAAGGAGAGATTGTTAGGATCTTACGATGCTACTTTTTTTACACTGTTTCCAAATTCCATGTTCCATTATGGGTTGACATTAATAGTACAGGTCACTATAATCAATTATTTGCTAAATTAACAGCATGACAACGGCCTCTAACAAGCAGACGGATACAGATGGACACTTTTGGCGAGAGTGAAGGACATTAAGATCTGGTGGTTATTTATGGCTGGATGTGAGACAGATATATGGAATGTGGTAGGTAGGCTGGGACCGTCTTGTTAACCTTGTGTGTTTTCTGTTTGTCTTCTCATGTTACGTATTTGCATGATTTTTTCCCTTTTTAAAATCCAGGCACAGTTCAACAATAAATTATATCAAGAACAAAATCGCATCACCATACCAAAAAAAGACATTTTAAAGACAATACATGAGAAATCTGTACACAATTAGTTGCAAGAACGACGTTCCTCGTAAACATCTTTCTGATTTTTTCAGAAATTTGTTCGTAAGAAGAAAAAAAAAAAAACAGTAAGTAAAGCCGTCAGAGAACATTTGCTTGTGTGGCACCTGGATATTTTCATATGAATAAGTCTGTGTAATCTGACACTCAGATATACATACAACGGTAACCAGGAACAAAAAGATCAGTGACAAGAGTATTAAACAATAATGGGTGTAAACAACTTCGAAGTCCCAACATCTAGTTCTCAGTGGCAGACAATGGCAACTACTGTATTGTGTATTTCAGAGAGTAGATGTTGGTTTTCCTCTACTAATTAGACTGTTTAAGGTGCATAACACAAATTATTACTCAGGGGTGTGACCACTGAATTGTTAATTGGCATCATGTTAATCACCCACATGTTGATTTATGTACCAAACTTTTAAAAATACAACATACTTGTGTCACAATGTAATGCAGTACATTAGGTGACAAAAGAGCCATAAACACACTGATCAATCTGTGGTAAAAAAAAAAAAAAAACAAATTCATGCTTGATTGCAGAGAGCACGGCCCTCGGCTTGGACACTGATAATTCTTTGGCAAGAATTTTAAAAACCAGCGATAACTGTATATTGGTCCCAAATAATTATGTGTATTTATATTACAAGCAATTTCATCTTTTTGCAGACTTTTTTTTCTCTTTTCTTACTACAATCCCTTTTAAAAAAAAACATTCCCATTCACGACAGTGGTGTGTCTCTAAAGCCCCGGCTGTGCCCGGCGCTGGTGACGCCGGCTCAGCCTGCTGCCATCGTAGTGGCAAGTTGGGCGCCGTTCCCTCCTGGACAGGAGCAGCACACTGTAACACCCGACTTCACTGGGAGTCCTGCGGCAGGCTGCCAAGACCAGCGCGCAGTGGAAGAGCCGCTCCTAGACACTCGGGGCGGCAGTGTATGCCAGGCCGATTTACAGCCATCCCGAGGCATTCAGTGTGATCTCAGGGCACTGCGCAGCAATGACTCTGTCATTCTCTGCCAAGTGCATGAGGAGCTGCAGCCGCGTTACTGGCTGACCGGCCAGACAGCGTTGCATCTTGGGAGCCTATCCATGGGTCTTCCTCTGGGGGTCTGTGTCTGCTCTGGGGAAACCAGACACTTGCAGAATGAGCGTGAATTATACTCAAACTTGCCCCATGTTTACCTTTTGCTTGCCCCCCATTCCTCTCAAAGCATCTGATATGCCGAGCATAACCAAGTCTTTACTTTCCCTTTGCTGGTTTTGTTGCTGTTATTGTTATGATTAACTTGCAGTGGCCAGTATTGTAATGATTTCGCTTTTCTAACAAGGATACAAAACGTTCTGCGTACAAAAAAGTGGGTGCAGTTAGTGGACACTTCGCCGTCAGCGGAAGTGAGAGACTACCAAATAATGCATAAAAATATATTTCACTGCCCAAGTGTCAAAATCTGAATGTACAAAAACGTATACTCATGGTCTCTGACTGGAAGGAGATAGAGAGACAGCAGGAAAATGTCAAACAGCAGCTTGACACAGATTTATGAAGGCAGGAGCCCGAAAATAAGGTGATAAACGTGGAAAAATCGTATTTCCAGGGCTGAGGCTTTCCGTTCCCTCCAACACGAGGGAGACTCCTGCTTATCAGACACTAGCCTGAATTTACAAATAATTGATGGGCACAGCAAGGCAGAACAAGGACCAAAATTCAGGGACCAAACAGCTGAAAGCCTTTCCTTCACCCAGCTGTTTCACAAGCTCGTTCACAGGATACGAGCCCCTTCCGCCGCGTCTGTTACCGCTCAGTCAGTGCTTCCTTTTTGGCATATGGGTTCTCCAGCATATAGCGATAGCGGTCATAGTTTTCCAGCAGGTATTTAGGAGCATACATAGGCTCCTTGGCGTCAGAAGGGGGATATTCCTGAAGGCTGCCGTCGAACCAGCCCCCGGTACGGATCAGCTCCCGGATGTAGTTTAGGTCCCGCTTGTCCTCGTAGTCCCCCCAGCGAGGGAAGTCTCCATTCTGGGCCGAGACGAGCTTACGGAGGATGCCCTCTGGTGTGAAGCACCATGAGCAGTGCCAGCCAGCAAAGTGGACCGGGCTCCCGATGGACCATTGAACCAGAATGTGACCAGTATCATTCTCATACTTGCGGAACCCCGGCATGGAGTAGTACTCCCGGCGCCTGAGCTTGATGCCATCGTCCTCGTAGACCGCGGCGAGCATTCGCACTGTGCACCCGGACAGTACCTCCAGGGAGCCCAGCTGCTTCCAGAAGAAGCCGTAGAGAGACTTTCGCATGTGGAAGGCAAAGGGCTCTGTCCAGCCATCAAAGAGCTTCAGGAAGAGGATGCCCTCTTGTGCGGGGATCTCATCTGCATCATTGATGATAAAGACATCATCCGGTCTCAGGCCCCTGACCCGGGACATTCCATTATGGGTCAAGAAGGTGCGCAAGTAGTCGTCAGCAATCCAGCCGTCCTGCCGCCCGCCTTGGGGGAAGTGGTCCAGGAAGACGTAGAGGATCTTATGTCGCACGTAGTCATAAGTCCCATTCAGGAGAAGGTGCAAAAACTGCAGGGGCCGCCCCTCACCGTAAGCCGTGAAGTTGGACTCGCACACCAGGAAGAGGTCCACTGCTTGGGCTAGCTCGTGGAAACGGACGTGTAGCAGGTCGAACTCGTGGTTGATGTTGATGGCGTTGATGATTCGGCGAGGGACCTCCCTGGGCGTCAGCCTGTCTTTTGTAGGCAGACTGGAGTGGTACACCATCGTGGGGACGCCACAGTAAGGGCCGTGCCACCCTTGGCGACAGACACACTTGACGAGCCGCTTGCCCCGCTTCGGTTTGGCTGGGAATGTGTGTTCCTGTTCCCGGTGCTGTAACATCCTCCGCTGGCTCGACACCATTCGGTCCTCCTTCGGAGCAGCCATTTCGGTCCCCTCTCGGAAGCACAAGGCTCCCGCTTTCGTGCGCACAAAGTATGACGTTGTGTCATCTTGAAGCTTGACGATACGCTGGTGCAGACTCCCAAACAGCTCCTTGGGGTCAAAAAGAGTTACATTTGTAGAGTCATGATTCTTCACCATGGACACCTTATCAGATGGGGGGCCTGGCTTGATTCCAGAAGGAACACTGGGATACCAGGGATTTGCGTCAAAGTTTCTCTGTCCACCCCTGACCAACCCATCCTGAGGCAACTGACAGAGACATCAGAAGACCAGTCATTTTAAAAAAATTTTTAAATCTCAGATTGACACAAAAAAATATGAAAATATGAAGATACACAAATGTTCACCCTTTATTTCTCTTTTACAGATTATAAAGCCTTGGCAGCATTAGCATAGCGTTACCAGGCACACACTCACCTCCACCTCCATACTTCTCCGGACATCCATGCTGAATGACTGCATGCTGAAGGGGTGAGCCTCACTGGGTTCAGTGCTGGCCAGAGGAAAGGGCCGGTCCTTCCAGAAGAGGCCACTGACCATTATGAACGACTTGATGTTGGGGTAGGGAGCAGAGAGTTCCCGCAGCACAGAGACATAGTGCAGGGCCTTGTAGTAGTGCAGGAAAGAGATGACGCACAGGCCCACCGTGCAAAGCAAAAACACCCTGTGTCGTCGCATTTTCATCCTGTGGAGAGAACAAGAGTCAGTCAAGTGCTCCTGGTGTTCTGGCTAAATCGTAATAAAATTATTTTTTTCATATATTTATACAGTGGCACCTCAGAACTCGAACTTAATCCGTTCAGAACTCCGGATCGAATTCTAAAAAGTTCGAGATCTGATCGAATTTTCCCTATAAGAAATAATGGAAAACCAATTAATTGGTTCCCGACCCCAAAAATTTTATACCTAAATGTTTTTTTTACCTAAATGAACCGGATAAAACAAGAAGAGCATATATTGTACTAAACACATCTAAGCACATTTATCAAAACAGTAATTTGTAAAGTAAGAAAATAAATGTATCAAAACAATGTGTAAAGTAAAAAAAAAAAAAAACAAAACAAACAACGTGTCCTGCCCCGATCGTCCGCTCCTTCCGTGTGCCACGCCCCCTCATTAACCTCGTATGGAATCCCCGTGTGATCAGCTGTTTCTGGTTGTTGTCATTAGTCCTCTATATTTAGTCCGCGTTTCAGTTTGTCTCCATTCCGTCCCCGCTCGGCACTACAATATTATTATAATTAAACGTATTAATGATCTATTATTATTAAAATAATGAATAAGAAATCTTTATTTTAAAATGTATTTTATTATATAATACTGTTAATCATTATCTAAATGTATTTACAGTCTAAATATATGTATTCAGCTAGTGTAAACATGCAAGATGCTATCACAGCGAATGCAAGGCTGAAGCGTTACCCTTTATTTCCGCTGAGAGACGTGCCGCGTGACTCATTTCCCCACGCGTACAAGTTATCTTAGGTCGGCGTTCACGGTTTGACTTCTGAGATTCAGATAGAGTTCTAGGTAATTTTTTTTTGAACTGGTTGGTTCGACTTAAGAAATTTCAGTTCTAATGAGTTCGAGAACTGAGGTACCACTATATTCTACATAAAAAACCCCCCACCACATTTATATCTAACTCCCACGGGGTCAGGAGTGGTGATTGCCAAGTCTTGATAATGAACCCTGCCTGCAATATGAAAGCCACCCGAAACTTCTAATGAACTCTGTGCACCACCACAGTCTAGCCTAGACCCAAAGATAGCCCACTGCTAGCTCAGTGCAAGCTGTCTTCGGAAAAACATTGTGACACATTTTCAACATGGGGTAAGCCAAGGAGCTCCGTCTGTGACCTAACATCTATGCGGCCAGAGGAATTCCTGGAGTGCCGAGACCCAGCTGTGCTCTTTCCATCACGGTTGAGGTGATGTCCACCTGTGCACAGCCGATCATGGAGAAACGGGGCTTGGTCACCATTTCACCTGAGAGATACGCTGGAGAACACGACAAACGTGTAAACCGGTTCTGTAAGGCGGCCGCACTGGCCACGGAAAACCCTTCAGGTATGCTGCTTTCTCGTCACTGGAATGCAGCTGAAGGGCTAATTCACCTTCACAATCGGGCTGTGTGTTACTCTTGGGGCTACTTATCACAGTTTAGTTGACCAGGTATGTGCCACCTACAATTTTGTGCTGTAAAGCTCCACTATAAATATAGTCTAGGCAGCCACCACTGTGCCCTACTAGCAATTATAGCATTTCCTTGTATTATTTAAAAAAAAAAAAAAAAAAAAAAAGAAATCCTCATGAAGAACTGCTAAAAAGCTGCAGTGAACAGAAAAACATAGCAGAGGTCACAGTTGCTGTCCAACAGCAACTCGGCATGCCGACTTCATTTCATGATGTCAGGAAGAGA